ACAAATGTCAAACACAAACATACAAACGTCAAACACAAACATACAAATGTCAAACACAAACATACAAACGTCAAACACAAACATACAAATGTCAAACACAAACATACAAACGTCAAACACAAACATACAAAAGTCAAGCACACAGATTTGCAGATAACAAATTAGGTATGCATATTGTTGCCTGGTCTTTCGGTAAGACTAAAACAGGTAGCTCTGTAATGCCTCATATTTATACAACGAGAGAATATCCAATAAATCATGAACAGCACTACTCAACAACAACAAAAGGTTGGTGGTTTAATATCAACACCACATGACTGTTGAACATTGCAGATTTTTAAAACTGGCTTTTTCTCTTTCCTGTTTTGTATAATAGTATTATTGGTCGCTTTTAAGCACAAGGGGGTTATCCCGAAAAAAGCTGTTGTGAGAAAATTGAAGGTAAAGTTTCTGCCCCTTGTTCAGTTTCATTTAAAGACAAGGAGAGTTTTCTCTATAACCAAACAAATATACACACCAATGAAACCAAACTTCTGCTATAGGTAGGGCAATGCCCACTTTAGGTGTAGGTCAAGATTTCTGGAAACCCCCGAAATTTGTGTTAACCCGCTTGTCCTTAAAAGCGACCAATTATTGTTTGTGTTTGTTGGTGTTTGGACTTCCTTCTGTCCTACCAAACATCTGCCGTCCTGACCTCTCCTCCTCCTTTTTGTGTTTGTTACTCTCTTGTAACACCCCTAATCTTCTGCACTTATGTGACTTTATTGCGTTGCAAGTGCCGTAAAGTTCCGATTAAACTAAAGATCCTAAAGACTGAAATACATAGAGAAAATGCGACCTATACTTATGAACAAACTGAGCCAAAAAGTCACATCAGAAAAGTATAGTAATAATAGGCACATGCAATAGGACATGGAAGTCACACAAAAATCTTCAAATCACAGTAGGGAAAAAAGTTCTTCAAATAACGTTATCAACAGAATCAATAACGCCTTAAAGAACGTTCAACATTTCTCTTTACAGAACATTTTTGTTGAGACTTCCAAGTGCATAACAAACAAAGAGCTGCAGTTTGAGATGTTGTTCCTTGAGAAAAGCCGGATATGCCAAGATTTGTTTACAGTCGGAATAACTGACCTGTCATTGCGCAAAACCAGAAAGTTTTTTGAGAAAATCCATAAGAACTTTTTAGTGACCGTAACATCATGTCAGATGTATTTGTGTTGTTGTTTTTTTAGATTTGACTGATTTTTACTTTATTTTTATCTCCTTGTTCTTTTTGTTCTTCTTGTTATTTTTGTTGTCTTGTGGTGGTAGTTGTTGTTGTTGTTGTTGTTGTTGTTGTTGTTGTTGTTGTTGTTGTTGTTGATATCGTTTTTGTTTTTTTGGTTTTCTTCTTCTTCTTCTTCTTCTTCTTCTTCTTCTTCTTTTTCTTCTTCTTCTTCTTCTTCTTCTTCTTCT